ATATATAATATATGAAAAATTGATGTGGGTACTCAAATGAAAGGTCTCGATGAGTGTAACACCGGGATGAGCTTATATCTTTAAAAATATCAATATTTCACAAGACACAAGGTAATTTCTCAATTATGTATCTAGAGATAGAGCATTTTTGAATGCAGCCTAAATACTTATCATCATAAATTGACTATTAGTGTGAATGATATGAAATCTTGAAAAGTCACAAATTCAAGTCAAGACCTTCGCAATAACACTAAATTTCAGTAAAAAAATCGATTTTATCACATGACAATCCTAGACACAAAATTTTTCTTATTCTCTTAATTAAATAGATAAAAAAAAATTTTCTAAAAAAAATTTGTATATTTATCAAATACTTTTATGTTAAAAAAAAAAATTTTAACTTTGTAATAATTTATCAAAAATTTTACTAAAAAAAAATACTAATTAAAAACGTATAACATTACAGGTGAAATAGCAATCCGAGTATTCCGAGCATGTACAGAACTAGGAATCCGCTCGGTAGCAATCTACTCCGAGCAAGACAAGATGCAAATGCACCGTCAAAAAGCCGACGAAGGATACATCGTAGGCCGAGGATTGCCCCCAGTGCAAGCTTACCTGAACATTCCCGAAATAATAAAAGTAGCTCAAGAAAACGGAGTTGACGCAATCCACCCAGGATACGGCTTCCTCTCCGAAAGATCTGACTTCGCTCAAGCAGTAGTCGACGCGGGGATCCGATTTATCGGACCCTCTCCTCGAGTAGTCCAACAAATGGGAGACAAAGTAGCAGCTCGCCAAGCGGCTATCGAAGCGGGAGTTCCCATAGTTCCCGGAACAGACGGTCCAGTGTGTTCTTCCGACGAAGCTATGGCATTTTGCCAAAAACACGGTCTACCGGTGATCTTCAAAGCGGCCTACGGTGGAGGAGGCCGTGGAATGCGAGTGGTTCGCAAGATGGAGGAAGTAGTCGAGAATTTCGAGCGAGCTTCTTCAGAAGCCAAAGCAGCCTTCGGAGACGGCGCGATGTTCATCGAGAAATTTATCGAGCGTCCTCGACACATTGAGGTCCAACTTTTAGGAGACAAAGCTGGAAATGTCGTTCATCTTTACGAGCGCGACTGCTCTGTCCAGCGGCGACACCAGAAGGTGGTAGAAATTGCACCAGCTCCGAGACTGGACCCCAAAGTCCGGGACCGGATGACGGAACATGCTGTTAAATTAGCTAAGCACGTTGGATACTCCAACGCAGGTACTGTCGAGTTCCTGGCTGATGATAAGGGAAACTTTTTCTTCATCGAAGTCAACGCAAGATTGCAAGTAGAGCACACAGTCACTGAAGAAATAACCGGGATTGATCTAGTGCAGTCGCAAATAAGAATTGCTGAAGGTATGACTCTCCCTGAGCTAGGAATGACTCAAGAAAAAATTTCTCCTCAAGGATACGCGATTCAGTGTCGGGTGACCACTGAAGATCCTGCTAAGAACTTCCAGCCCGACACAGGTCGCATTGAAGTCTTCAGATCCGGTGAAGGAATGGGAATTCGTCTTGACAGCGCTTCAGCGTTCGCTGGTGCTATCATCTCTCCCTACTACGACTCTCTTCTGGTTAAAGTTATTGCCCATGCTGCTGACTTGCAGTCTTCCTGCGCGAAAATGAACCGCGCGCTACGCGAGTTCAGGGTTCGTGGAGTTAAGACTAATATTCCTTTCCTGCTTAATGTTCTGGAGAACCAGAAATTTTTGAACGGAAATGTCGACACTTATTTCATCGATGAGAATCCTCAGCTGTTTAAATTCACGCCAAGCCAGAACCGGGCGCAGAAATTGCTCAATTATTTGGGTACCGTTTTAGTAAACGGGCCTAGCACTCCACTGGCTACTCAGTTGAAACCTGCTGAAATTAAACCGCATATTCCTGATATTCCTGTTGGTAAGTTGTTAATCTTGTTTTGATTTTTTTTTTTTATTAATTATTCATTATTTATTTATTTTTAAGTATATGTTATCTTGGCCCCCTTATTTTTTATTTATTATATTTAATTATACTATAATTCAAGTCAAAATTTATTACAGCTAGAAAGCTTCTTTTATATTATTTTATAAAATTTAATAGGTGTTACAAAAGCGTGTTATGAAAAAATATCCATGTATTTGTTTTGGAATTTTTTTTCAGACCTTAATAATTGATTTTTTTTTTTTCTTAAAGTTTCATTAAAAAAATATTAATTCATCAAAATTTTTAAAACTTTCATAGTGCAAGAAAATATACTTAAAATGTTTTTTATATTAATTTGACATACTGAAGAATATAAATAAAGTACAAGACATTAATAATAATCAGAAAAATAATTATTACTGCAGTATTTTAATTAAAAAATATTTGTATAATATTTTTGAAGTTAAAAAAATTTTGAGTGACTTAAAAAAAAAATTATTTATTTTTAATGGTTTCAATAGTTATCCAAACACTTTTATAGCACCTGCAAAAAAAGAAAAAGTCATATATATATATATATATATAATTTTGCTTTTTATTTGTGTGAATAATTTTGCTTCTTCAGGGCTGCTTAAAAAATTTATTTAAATCATTGTGTTAACGACCAAAAAAATCTCCACCATTTTTGCACAATTTTTTTCACCTATAAGAAAACAATGATAAAAGAACCCGTCATCCGTAAATAATAAATATTTATTATTTTATAAAATATTAAAATAAATATTACATTTATTTGGCATGCTTTTATCATTTGTTTGGCAATTATTTTTTTAGACTATTCTAAGCTTCGAGCAACCGACGTGGAAGACGCAGACCTGACAGGTATGCCTAGAATATATTCAAGTGTTTTACACTTCAAAAACAAATTATTATAATTATAATTATTTTATGTTTCGCAATAAACATTATCGCTTAAAATTGCACGCATCTAACCCAACATAAAAACCTCCCAAAAAAACGTCAACCTCCTAACTAAAAAATAATTCTTATAGAAATCCTGGAACCTCCTCGAGGCTTGAGACACATATTACTCGAAAAAGGCCCGGAAGGATTCGCAAAAGCAGTCCGTGATCACAAAGGGCTTCTGCTAATGGACACAACCTTCCGCGACGCGCATCAATCTCTCCTAGCAACTCGAGTTCGGAGTCACGACTTACTAAACATATCTCCATACGTCGCGCACAAATTCAGTAACCTCTACGCCTTAGAAAACTGGGGAGGCGCCACCTTCGACGTCGCATTAAGATTCCTCCACGAGTGTCCTTGGGAACGGCTTATAGACATGCGCAAAGCGATCCCAAATATTCCGTTCCAAATGCTGCTCCGAGGCGCTAACGCAGTCGGCTACACCAACTACCCCGACAACGTGGTGTTCAAATTCTGCGACCTATCAGTGCAGTGCGGAATGGACATCTTCAGAGTATTCGACTCTCTAAATTACCTTCCAAATTTAATCCTGGGAATGGAAGCCGCTGGAAAAGCAGGCGGGGTTGTAGAAGCGGCAATTTCTTACACTGGAGATGTAAGCGACCCTAACCGGACAAAGTACGACTTGAAATACTACACAGACCTGGCTGATGAATTAGTAAGAGCTGGAACACATGTGCTGTCTATAAAAGACATGGCAGGTTTATTGAAACCCAAAGCAGCGAGTCTGCTGATTGACGCGATTCGTCAAAAGCAGCCTGATGTTCCAATTCATATTCATACTCATGACACAGCTGGTGCTGGAGTAGCTTCGATGCTTGCTTGTGCTCAAGCTGGAGCTGATGTAGTGGACGTTGCTGTTGATAGCATGTCTGGAATGACCAGTCAGCCTTCAATGGGAGCCGTTGTTGCTTCTTTGCAAGACACTCCTCATGATACTAACTTTGATTTGAGAGACGTGTCTGAATATTCGGCCTATTGGGAACAAACCAGGACTCTTTACGCGCCTTTTGAATGCACTACGACGATGAAGTCGGGCAATGCTGATGTTTATCTCAATGAAATTCCCGGTGGGCAGTACACTAATCTCCAGTTCCAGGCTTACTCTTTAGGACTGGGAGAGTTTTTTGAAGACGTCAAGAAAGCTTACAGAGAAGCTAATATTCTGTTGGGTGATATCATAAAAGTAACACCCAGTTCTAAAGTTGTGGGAGACTTTGCGCAATTTATGGTACAGAATAAACTGACCGCTCAGGATGTTTTGGACAAAGCTGAAGAACTTTCGTTCCCTAAGTCGGTGGTTGAATTTCTTCAGGGAGCTATTGGGGAACCTTATGGAGGATTTCCGGAACCGCTGAGGTCTAAGGTTTTAAAAGATATGCCTAGAGTTCAGGGAAGACCGGGTGAGAGTTTGCCGCCGTTAGATTTTGGGAAGCTTGAAAAAGATTTGAGGGAAGTTCATCCGACTATCACGGAGAAGGATGTTATGTCTGCGGCGCTCTATCCGCAGGTTACTAATGACTATTTGAAGTTTAAAGAAACTTTTGGACCGGTTGATAAACTTGAGACGAGGATTTTTTTGACTGGGCCGAAGGTTGGGGAAGAGTTTGATGTTACGATTGAGAAAGGAAAGACTCTGGGGATTAAAACTTTGGCGATGTGCGAAGATCTGACGGCTAATGGAGAGAGAGAGGTTTTCTTTGAGATGAATGGGCAATTGAGATCTGTTTTTATTAAGGACAAAGAAGCTGTTAAGGTATTTATTTTTAGTTTTATTATATGAAATTTTGGCTTGATTTTTTTATATTTGATTACTGTATGGAAGGTAAAAGACCCAGTTATTGACACTGGCCTAGTTATTGACACTTGCAATTTTATTTTAATTAAAAAACAAAAAAAAAAATCAACTTTGATAAATTAATAAATATAATTTTTGAATTATGAATTTTAAGATAATTGGTTTGTTCGGAAAATTTTATTTTTTTTGTTTTGGTTTGATAAAATTTTGCTTTATTAAATAATGACTTTTGTTAAATTGCACTGTACTTTCTTAAATATTGACGTTATTAAAAACATAAGCTCATCTCGTTGTTACACTCGTCAAGAGCTTTCATTTGAGTACTCACATACACTTTTGATATATTTTTCATATATACATATATATATATAATATATATAAATATATGAAAAATTAATGTGGGTACTCAAATGAAAGGTCTTGAAGAGTGTAATGTCGGGGTGAGCTTATATCTTTAAAAATGTCAATAGCTCACAAGATACAAGATCATTTCTTAATTATGTTAAATTGCACTGTACTTTTTTAACTATTGAAATTTTTAAAGATATAAACTCATCCCGATGTTACATTCATCAAGAGCTTTCATTTGAGTACCCACATGCATTTTTGATATATTTTGCATATATACATGTATATAATATATATGAAATATATGAAAAATTGATGTGGGTACTCAAATGAAAGGTCTCGATGAGTGTAACACCGGGATGAGCTTATATCTTTAGAAAATGTCAATAGTTCACAAGATACAAAGTCATTTCTTAATTATGTGTCTATAGATAGAGTAAATTAAATATCGGTGACAATGATATAAAACCTTGAAAAGACACAAACTCAAGTCAAGACCTTTGCAATGACACTAAATTTCACTAAAAAAACCGATTTTGTCATGTGACTATCCTGAACACAAAATTTTTCTTATTCTCTTAATAATATAGATTATTTTTATTCAATATTGAAAGAAGAAATAGATGATTAGCAAAAAAAGTAGTGAATAATTAAAAATAACTGATTCATTTTATTATTTTAAAGATTTGGAAGGTGAATGTTGAATGTTAGATGATGATTTTTGTAATTAAATAAAAAGATAAGTAACTTACAATTTTTTTCAGGAGCTTCACATTCATCCCAAAGCTGACAAAAGCAATAAGAACCAGGTCGGCGCTCCCATGCCCGGAACTGTGATCGACATCAGGGTGAAAGTCGGCGACTCAGTCGAAAAAGGCGCTCCGTTGATTGTCATCTCAGCCATGAAGATGGAGATGGTTGTCCAGGCACCAAAAGCTGGAAAAATAAAGACACTGGAAGTCTCCGTGAATTCCAAACTCGAGGGTGATGATCTTCTAATTACCATGGAGTGAATTGATTTATTTTGAAGAAATCCTTTTGTACTATCTTCCCTTGACGGTAACGTCTATCACCAATTGTGTTTCACGGTTGAACTTCATTTCATTTAATTATTATTATAAATTATAATTTTTAATAATTTTAATAATGAGCGAATGGTAGGCAATGTTGTTTTATATAAAAAATATAATATTAGTAATATAATTGCTGCGTAGCGGTTGTGCCAAGTGATTTTAATCATTGTGAAATTAAATAAAGGATAATGCTGAATTTTATAACTTGCACAATTAAATTTAATTAGTGCTGTTTTATTAATTTAAACTTGCGCTTTTTTTTTAATAAAACAAATTACGCTTATATAAAATCTTAAATTAATATTAATTGACTTTGTAATTAGAGTTATAAATTTTATGTATGTTATATATATTATATATATATATATAAATCAAATTTGTATAGTGAAAATGGTGCAATTAATTTAAATGAATAATTATAATTTATATATATAAATAGTGTAGTTAATATTTGTACATATTTACCAATAAAAAAAATGAGTTTATAATTACCTGAATATTTTTATTAAAAAAATTTTCTGTTAATTTAGGAAATTATAACTGAAAAAAAATGTTTTTCTCTTAGTTGGCTGTTATCCGTTATAAACCTTGTACCTCTGCAGAATAGTTTTTTTTTCTTGTATACCTGAAATCAAAAAATAAATAAGTAAAGAAAAAACTATTTTTTTTTTTTTTTTTTTCGTTTTTAAAGATATTCATTGACAATTTTTGGTGTCAGCTACTCGTCTGTGGCAGTAATTACCAATACAAATTACAAACTCATCGTCACTTGAAATCTTCAAAAATAAAGGATATGAATTTTTTTTATAAATAAAGAAGCAAATTTTAGACAATTATTATAAACTATTGTTTCTCTGTATAAATTTATATTAACTTTGCATAATATCGTTTAGATTATGTGCCTTTATGTATTACGTTATTTTTTCTTTCTTTTTACTGAACATGGAATTATTTTTTTTATGTTCTAAATACACATTAAGGTAAAAGACCCAGTTATTGACACTTGTAATTTCATTTTAATTAAAAAAAAACAAATCAACTCTAATAAATTAATAAATATAATCTTTGAATTATAAATTTTAAGATAATTAATTTTTTTAATTAGAGTGAAATTGCAAGTGTCAAATAACTAGACCAGTGTCAATAACTGGGTCTTTTACCTTATAATACTTATATGATTGAATAAATAAAATCTGTTACATATTTTGTACTTGCTATTAGGCTTAATGCCTTGGGATATAAATTAAATAACTAAAAAAAAAAAAAAAAAATTTTAATTTGTACAACAGTTCTTGCAATTTCCTTATTGTAAGTACTATTTATAATTAAATGTATTATACGTTTACAATTCCTCGCAAGTTTTGCTTAATTATATCAGATATCGTTTACTGTTATAAATTTATATAATTTGTACATGTTTAGTTATTGTTTAATTTACTTAGGTAAAAAATTTTTTATTAAAAAACCTAAACAAACATAAATTATTCCTTAAATAAAAAACTGTCTAGTATTAAGGGTATGTACTAAATTATAAAAAAAAAAATTGTAAATACTGAAAAACATGAATATTTATTTGAATTCAAAATTAATAAACTTTTATTACAGTATACCAATAAATTATTTTAAATACAAAGATAAAAAATAAAAATTGATATTGAACTTCTAAACTAAATAAAAATCCTTTAAGAATAAACCATCAAGTCTTCATTATTTAAGTATATCAAAATGTCTCTAACACAATTGTAAGGTAAATCACCAAAAATATCTTCAAGTTTCTTCTCAGCATTTTTCAGCAACAAATTCCTCTTCTGCCCCTTTTTAAACTGACAAACCAACATTTTCGCATACAAGGGGAACTTGGTAGCCAATTTTTTATCTTTAATAGCCTTTTCAATATTCTTATTCTCCGCATACATGACCACCTGGCCAACACCCTTAACCAGAACATCATAGTAAGAAACACTAGTTCTAGTAATCTTCTCTTTCTTCATACTCTTAACTTCCTTGATACACTTACTCTGATACTCTCTCTTCTTAATCCCGCGGCTAATCCACTCTAAATGCTTCTTGTGAACATATAACTTTGCAGCTTTTAATTTAAGTACATGCTGCTGGAGTATCGTGGAAGTAGTATCACGCAGATTTTTATAAACACAAGCTTCATTGATATCAGCTCCAAGATCCAAGAGCAATTGCAATAATTCTCCATCGCAATTATTTTTAATCGCCATATCAATAACAGATTCTCTTTTAAAACTGTAATTACTCCTCGCGGTGGCATTGATATCCGCGCCTCTGTCCATTAACAATTTAATCAACTCCATGGATTCTTGAAGGGTAGCTTGATGAATTGCCGTCATACCTTCATAGCGATTAGAATTGCTCTTTTTATTAACATCCGCGCCACAATCCAGGAGACGTGTGATGATATATTGATTCTTCTTGCAAATAGCTTCGTAAAGTGCAGTTTTTCCATCAGCAGAAAGAATATTAACATCAGCACCTCTTCTGAGCAACAAATCAACCAGCTCATTGTCATCATGTCTAATAGCAATATGCAATGCACTTTGTCCAGAGTCTTGCTCATTAACATGATTGATATTTATTCCATTATCTAGAAGCAAATTAATCATTTCCGTGCTTTTAGCTTTTCCCGCAAGTTGAAGCGCATTTTCTCCATCCTCAGTCTTGGAATTAACTTCTACTTTCAGGACATTTAAAAAGTACTTGACCATCTCCAGAGCATTTTCACTAACAGCTACATGATAAGCAGTCAACCCGGAGACAAATCCGTGCTTAGCGAAGATATCATACTTGGCGTTCTTCTTTATCAGTTTTTTAGCTACTGAAACATTGTCTTTAGCCGCGGCAACATGAAGAGGAGTCTCACCCTTGTCTGTTTTGGCATTTACATCGCAATGTTTGTTACCCAGCAAATGCTGGACGATTTCTTCATTGTTAAGATCAATCGCAATGTGCAATGCGGTCCAGCCACCGCAGAATTGATGATTGTTGGTTGCGTTAATATCAGCACCCATTTCTAATAAATATTTGACTATTTTTAAGTTACCACTTTCTACTGCTGCAAAAAGAACAGTTTGGGAAGACTCGTCTAACGTGTTGATGTCAGCGTACCTGCCGAATAAAATAGAAATTTCGTGCTCGCCGTAGCCTAGTTCTTTCAGCTGTTCTGGTGAGAAATTTTTGAAGGTTTCGCGGAATAAATTGTCGTGGTTTATTGAAACGGAATTGCTACGAGTAAGACATTTTATTATTTCCCAATTCTTGCGCTTGATTGCGTGGCTGAGGACAGTCTCGCGGTTTTTTACCAGCGCGCGTACATCTATTTTCTTGGTTAAGAGCAGCTGGACAATGTCCAGCCGGTTTTTTTTCACTGCGCTGTGCAGCGGGGTGTCCCAGTAGTTGTAAATTGTGTCTGAAGTATTTTTAGCGGAAATATTAGCACCGTGCTCGAGTAAAATTTCAATACCTGGGATGAATTCCATGTCTACTGCTACGCGAAGCGCGGTTTTAAAATAGTCACCTTGCTCGTCAATGTCGATTCCAGTTTTGACAAGCTGTTTCATTGATTTTAAGTTCTCCGCTTTCACTGCGATTATTAGTGGAGTGTCTTTTGATTCTGATTTTTGGCTCTCGGAGTCGGAGTCTTTGTTATCTTCTTCTTCGTCGGAATCACCTAAAGTAAGACATTCAAGTTAGCTATATCACTTGACAATTTTTTAATTCTATTTAAGGTAAAGTACCCAGTAGTTGAAAAGGATTTAACTAGTAAAACTTATTAGACCCTACTTTTAATATATTATGATGTAATTATTAATTAAAATTAGTTGAACATTCTGGGAGCAGTAGTTGAACTAATAATATATATGGTGAATATTTAAAATGTTCATTTAAAATTGATAAATATTTGTATTTAATTCGAATAATTTATTTGTAAACAATTCGAAAAGTCTGTTCAAGTACTGGTCCCATTTTTATAAGTGTTCAAGTACTGGGTACTTTACCTTAACAAAAATATTTATTCCAAAAAATTATTTTTAAAAAATTACATTTTTTATTTTTTTAAATTTCTAAATTCTAATTTTTTTTTTTTTGCTGTAATTTATTTGATAACACTAAAGTTAGCCGACGTTTTTAATTTTTTGATTTTTTTTAATTATCAAGTTAGAAATAAAAAATATTTTTAAAAAATTGCACTTACAGTTTATCAAGTTTTTTACAAATGAAAATTTTTTTTTTATTATTTTGTGACAAAATAAAAATTCTAAAAATTTTTAGATGTCGGCTAACTTAATTTTAATATTTATTTGTTAAAAAATTTTTAAAATTATTAAATATGTGCTACATTAATGATCATACCTAAAGTGCCTCGGACCCAGTTAACCCCATCTATGTCCATTTCATTTTCATCGGCGATCGTTTCGACGAAAGCGTGAGCTAATAATCGGAAAAGGTCCACTGCCATTCGCGGTTGGTTCATGTCGTCGTCGTCGTCGTCGTCGTCGTCATCATCGTCATCGGAATCCTCATCGTTGTCGTTGTCATTGTCATCATCCGAGTCCGATGACATGTCGCTGTCGGAATTATCGTTCAGGTGGTCGTTGCCGGGTACATTGTCTTCTGCTCCTGAATTTTCGGATTCTGAGTCTGATGACCCATCAATACGCTGTCTTTTTGCTGGTCTTTCATCATCTGACATTTTTAAGTCTTAATTGTCTATTTACTATCCCTAAAAGTTGGTTTGTTGTTATTAATGGTGTTTTATTATTTATTTTGTGTTTTTTACTTACCTGAGATTTGTTTAAAAAAAAAAATACTAGTTGATTATAAACAAAAAAATTGTTTTTGACGATATTTGTGTGTTTTTTTTAGTAAATAAATAAAATACGTAATTGTAATTGTAATTCACATTGGTAAACTTATGCCTTTTTTGAGGTTAGCTGTTATTTTTTACGCAGTCGGTATGTAGAGCGCGCTATTGTATATTTAAAAAAATAGGAACTAACTCTGAAATCAACTGTTATTTCAAATCGATTTTTAGTTTTGTTTATTTTGATTCACAAGTAAATAAACAACAAAAAAAAATTTTTTTTTCCACTGTATTCGTAGTTTTTTTTTTTTTTAATTTCTTCAATTAGTTTTTTTAATAATTATTTATTAATAAAAATTCTGAAAATAATCAAATGTTTGTTAAATTGAGTATCATGACATAATACTGAAGTTAGCCGTCAGCTGTCAATTTAAAAAATTTTCTTAACAAATCAGTTATATATAACAAAGGATACTTCTAAAAATTTTCACATGAAATTTTTATTAATTTTCACATTTGGAATTTTTTAATTAAATTTTTTTTATAATAATTTAATTGCTATAAAACTCTAAAAAAAATTTTCAAAATTTTTTAATTTTATATAACAATGAAAAAATTTCCCTAAAAAAATTCCTTTTTTAGAAATTAAAAAAATGACAAGTGGAAACTTTTTAAAATTGATTTTTTTTTTTTATAAAAATAAAAATAATTATCAAATTTCTGCTGCTTTGAGTATATATCAACAGTTTTTTTTTTTTCAATTTTTATATATGACATTTTTTTACCAGTTAAAAAAAAAAGTAATTATCAATAAAATGATTATTAAGAAAAAAATAACTATATATGTTAATTTCAGAATCTTCAAAAAATATAAAAATGTAAGTATATTAATTTTCTAAAGAAATGACATTAAATTATTAAATTCAGCTGTCACTTGACAATTTTTTTTAACAAATAAATATAATCCAAAAAATTATTCGTCAATTTTTTTTTTGCCATAATTTATTAGTTACAAAATTTTTAAAACGATCAAAAATCTGCTAAATTAATTTTCATTCTAAAGAAAGGTTTTTGTTTCTAAGTATTAAAAAATTATTGTAGTATGTAATTTGTAAACTAATTATTTTAATGAAAATAAAATTACAAGATATCTGACAGTTTTTAGGACTTTTCTTATTTTATTTTTTTTTTTACAGTGTTGACATTTTTCTTTCGACTATGAGTTTTACGGATTGATTTGTAGAGTTCTTTCATTTTTTTTATTTGGTATAATGAAATTGTCCATTCCATATTTGTCGGCAGTGTATTAATGTTTTTCGTGATATCAATACTACTATCATAATTGGGGATTTGCAATTGTAAGTTTCCCATAACAATGGAAAATATATCATCAACATTACCATTAATCACCAGATCAGCTTGTTTATCATGTTTAGTTGATTGTAGATTACAAATAACGAGACGGCCGCCATGATTTTTCGTGAATAAAGGTAGATTTGCACTTGGGACTATTTGTAACGAAGTGCCTAAACAAATACTCAAATCTGCAACGCTAGAATGATAATCAGACAAAGCAAGATCTCCATCAGGCAGTTGATGTTCCCAATCGAGAATGGTATCGTGCATCTGTCCCCGACATGGCCTTTTACCGATTTGTTCCCGAGAGCACAACTTAGCCAAACTCTTTTTGCCCACGCTAGGAGTCGGCGAATCTCGAATGAATTGCCTATTACATTTATTGCATTGTTCGATGAATATATTGCCGTGCAATTCTGCGAGATTAGATCGTGGAATCCCTGATCTTAAATGAAGTCCATCAATGTTCTGGCTAATTATAAACTCGACTTTTCCAACTTCAATCAGCTTTTTCAACGCCATATGAGTTTTAGTTGGTACTGCTTCATCAAAGGCCATATTTTTTTCAGGCTTCAGGCCTTTTCGTTCCAAAGTCCAAACTCCAGATGGGCCCCGAAAATCTGAAATTCCGGCCGATGTTGAGATTCCAGCACCCGTGTGAACAACTACATGACGAGATTCATTTATCCATCTCGTGAGAATATCACATTTCAACTTAAGCTTCTCGGTGCTGTCGTATTTCTCAGCAAGCCCTAAGACACCTTTATTTTCATATGGAGATAATCCATCAGCATAATTGCAAGACATTTTCTGCTGTAGCGAATTATTACTGAAAAATAAAATTTGGTCAACTTTTTAGTTCGAAATTACACAAACGACACTCTTTTATAAAAACTTTACATAATTCAAGTGAAGAAATAAAAGGCTCTATAACTAAAACGTTTTATGTTTATTTTTTTGCTATATTATGTTTGGGATCATAACAAATAACGCAATATATTTAGAATATAAATACACTCGAGAGGTTAGCGATGTCTCTTTTCATTCCAAAAGCTATAGTCAAGAAGCCCGGCACTCATACCAACGTGTTTACACCTTTTTGACTTTTCTTACTAAAAAAATTTATTACAAAAAAATAAAAAGTAAAATTTCATATTTATTATAAGATTTAAAAAAGTGTGAGTGCAATTTAATTAAAATATTCTTTTGGTTTTTATTTAAGGAAGTACGAGCGCCAAGCGGGGTGGGAATAGGTATCGACTCTAGCGCGGTAAGGGGAACGCAGTATAACCATATGATTTTTTTCAATATATAGATATACATTTATTTTTATGAAAATGAAGTTAACCGACATTTTAAAACTTTTAGAAATTTTTTATTGAAAAAATTTCAATTTAACAATTAAAAAAAAAAAATGTCACATCTAAAAAACTTTAAAAACTAAAAGTGCAATTTTTTAGAAATATCTTTTTAGTTGTAATTTATTTAATATTAAAAATTCAAAATTTTTAAACGTCTGCTAACTTCAGTGACATTTATTTTTCTTTTAATTAATATACTTTAAGTTAATTAGTCGGACAAGTGTAAATATTTTTTATTTTTAATTAAATTTATCACTGATATATTTACTTTCATCCATAAGTTTTTTAAAAATATTCACCGACAGTTTTACGAGAAAAATACAGAAATATATCAATGTTTGAAGGTTACCCCATAAGACCAATGTTAAATTGCTCGAAACTTTAAAGTTAATTATTTATTTAAAAATGATCGGGCAATCTCCTTCAAATTTTCAGGATTTGTTTAGACATATTTAAACTTCATATTAAAAAAAAATCAAGCCTTTTATCAAAAGTTGCCTTGGTGCTCGTACTTCCTTAATTAATTAATAATAAAGAAAATTTTTAAATGCCTGCTGATTTCAGGATCATTTATTTTAAAATTTAATACAGGCCATAAATAATTAAAGATTAAGACCAGATAATTTAATAAAGTCGACTATTTATTTTACTGGAGGTATTTCTTACAAAATAACACCTTTGTTTTTTATATATATATATCAATACAATATAATATAATATTGTCGAATTACAACAAAAATATTGCATATAATTGTATAACTTTGTTAATAATATTTTTTTAAAATTCATTTATTCATTCTCTGGACATAAATGGACCCGTTATTCATGATTTGTACGAAAAATGGAGTATCGTTGCCACCAATGGACGGTAGCTGTTTTTAATCATACTTTTGTAAATACTTTTTCATAATAATTTTGTTTCGGACCTGCCGTAACGACTAAAAGGACTCAAAAAAATTAACAAATAACTTTGTGCTTGCTCTTGCCGTGGAATTTAGTGCTTACTTATATAAATAGGGCAGTAAATTATTAAACATTTTTTTTATAAGTATCCAGCTCTTTGATTTGTTTACTTTAATAATTATTATTGTACGTATATATATTTATATATTTATTAGTCAATTAATTACTTTTATTTTAGAGAGCTGTTATTGTCAGACTTTCAACGATGAAACAGTAAATATACTTTTTTTTTTTTCCAACTACGACATTCCTTTGATTTTTATTTTAAATCTTAACTTTATTATAATTTCCTTTACAGGACCAAGGATCAAAGGATTTTATCTTTTTGATTTTTATTACTTAAAGTACCAAGACCATTAATTTTAATGAGCGATGTGGTAAAGCTGGTCTCAATTTATCATCTATGTCGGTGTAAAATATTTCAGCTTCTGTTTTAAAGCCATGTTTCTCAAATACTTTTTGAGAATAAATTCCTGTTGCGTCTGCTTTTATTACCTACAAGTAAATTTATTAATTAATTTTTTTTTAATTAGAATTAATTTAGAAACATCAAATTATGGTAATTATTTACAAATGGGGTCCACCCTATTTTACAAGGAAACATTATTAAATACTAATGTAACATTTCCGTTCAATTTATAATATGTAATTAAATTTTTAAATCATAAATTTTAACTAACTTTTTTTTTTTTATTTTTTTATGCATTTAAAAAAAAATATACCAATAAAATCAAGTAGAAATTTCGTTTCAAAAAATGAATATTAAAATTACCCACTTGTAAATATTCACCAAAAATTTTAATTTATCTATTGAAAGTTTTTTCCAATGATTATCTTTCTGATAAAATTTTAAGAGTCACTCTTAAAATTTTTTTCTATCAATTTCACTGAAGAATAGAAATAAAGGACATTAATAATAGTAAAAAAAAAAAAAAAATTACTACCGCAGTATTTTAATTTAAAAATATTTATATAAAATTTTTGAAGTAAAAAAAATTTCAGCGACTCAAATTATTTACAGAAGTACCAAAAAAAAAATTATTAAATATTATTATTATTATTATTATTATTAAGAATTATTAAATTATTAAATTAAAAATTTTTTTTTTCATCCTGAAAATATGTACCCTTAATAAAATAATAATAAAATAACAAGTACCTTGACACTGACAAAAAACAACGAACAACATGCAGAAAATAGGTACAATTTTTAAATTAATTAACAAATAATTAATTATGCATGCTAGGTGATATCGATCAATAACGTCTTGCAACCTTAAAGCCAGCGCGTTTGGCTACATCAACAGTATCAGCCATCAGGACATTAGCTAGCCCTCGGCCACGGAACTCTTCATCAACGCTGAGGATTCTGCACTCAAACAGCTCTTCCGTGTTGTACTTTTCAAAGAGATCTACTTTCTCGCTTACTTTGTACAGCAGCCCAAAAATAATTTTGAACTTTTCATCATCTAGTTCCTCTAGGCGACGAACTGCTTCTTCGCGGTCTCCTTTCTTCGTCACTCCATTCAACGCCAGTCCGGCTATCTGCTCAATTAATAATTAATTAATCAAGATGAACAAATTAATTAATTTAATTTAATTAATTTATCTAAGACCTGGTATAATAAATCTAGATAATTAATTTTTTTTTAATTAAAAAAAAAACAATTATAATTAGTAATTACCGTTCCATCTTCGGTTACCAGCATCCGCGAGTATCCTTGCTTAAGAGTAGCCAAACAATGATTTTCAAGCTCTAGATGGGAGTCTCCTTTCTGACAGAGGTCCACTCCGCGATTAAGAGGCTCATCAGCGAAGAAATTGAATCGTAAATGTTCAATCACTTCGTTAAAACGTATCTCTGGTATCGCTACTGCGTTTAATCGTGAGGAAGACATTTTTTTAATTTATTTATTAATTATTATAATTATTTTAAATAATAATAATAAATTATTATTATTTATATTAACTTTTTTTTTTAATTAATTAATTATTTATTTATTTAATTAATAATTTATTTATTTATTTAATAAATTATTATTATTTTAAATAATAATAATAATAAATATTAGAACAAAAATTTTTTTTTGCAATTGAAACAATCTTATTTACTTTCTGTTTAAATAACGACTAGCACACCGAGTGTTAAATTTTATCTATCACGCGCATTAACTCTTACGTCGAGTATCAATGTCGCTTGCGCCCTACAGCTGAATATTGATTGACCTAGTTCCTTCATCCTAGTACCCATCATCTTCATCAGATTACTTTATTATCTATGGGATTCATATAAATGTCAGATTAATAGAGTAGACATCCATTATCAACAGACATATAGATATTTATTCTAATTATTTATTCCCTTACATACTTTTAAATATTCATTTAGATTTTATTTTTTTATTATTAATACTATATATTTGCAAGCTCCGGAGTGATTTACAGATTATTTACGTCAATTGACGTTTGGAATACGTTAAATACTTTTAAATACTTATTCTTCTTCTTTAATTAATAGTTATAATTAAACTTACTTTGACAAATGTTGATAAATAATATTAATATTTAAGATCTGAATTAAAAGCTTTAAACAGCTAATTTTTATATCTGAAGCTAATTACAAGAAAATCAAGTACTTTTAATTATTATACATCTGTACAAAATTGATTTTTTTTTTTTCAATTATTAATTATGCAATCAAATTGTTCTGATAAGAAGCTCAAGAACTTGATTGATGAGTAAGCACTCATTTAATAGACGATTGAAGATTTCATAATTCATTTCTTTTTTAAATCTTTAAAATAAGTTTTTAAATATAGATATATATATATATATATATATATACAAGTTAAAATAATAAATCGTCGTCTCCTTCGTCGAGCATGTTGGCTGAATCGTAATCTTTGCCAGCAGCAATCATTTCAATACGGTGGGCTTCAGCCTGAAAAAAAAGATTGTTTAAATAATATGTGACTTGTGAAATATAAACAAATAAAATTTTGCTTGATTAAATAATGATTTTTGTTAAATTGCACTGTATTATCTTAAATATTGACATTTTTAAAGATATAAGCTCATCCCAATGTTACACTCATCAAGAGCTTTCATTTAAGTACCCACATGCATTTTTGATATATTTTTCATTTATACATATATATATATATAATATATATATATATATAAATATATGAAAAATTGATGTGGGTACTCAAATGAAAGGTCTTGATGAGTGTAATATCGGGATGAGCTTATTTCTTTAAAAATGTTAATAGTTCACAAGATACAAGGTCCTTTCTTTATTACGTTAAATTGCACTAAGCTTTGTTAAATATTGACATTTTTAAAGATATAAGCTCATCCTGATGTTACACTCATCAGGAGCTTTCATTTGAGTACCCATATGCATTTTATGATATTTTTCATATATACATATATATATAATATATATAAATATATGAAAAATTGATGTGGGTATTCAAATGAAAGGTCTTGATGAGTGTAATATCGGAATAAGCTTATACCTTAAAAAATGTCAATAGTTCACAAGATACAAGGTCATTTCTTAATTATATATCTAGAGATAGAGCATTTTCGAATGCAGCCTCAATATTTATCATCATAAATTGAATATTGGTGAGAATGATATGAAACCTTAAAAAGGCACAACTCCAGGTCAAGACCTTTCTAATGATGTCAAATTTAACTATAAAAACCTATTTTATCATATAAATACACTGGTCACAAAATTTTTCTTATTCTCTTAATAATTTAGATTTAAAAAATTAATTAATAATATTAGCAGACATTAGAAATTTTTTTTAATTTTTAAATGTGGAATTTTTTTACTAATTTTTTTTTTTATAATTTAATTGTTTAAAAATTCAAATAAATTTTAAGATTTCTGTTGATTAAAGTGTAATTATTTTATAAAAAGAAATTACCTTGGCTTTGATAATTTTCTTCTTATCCTGAATTTTTTTGAGACGGTAAAACTCTTCACGCTCAAGCTCATCGAGCTCTGAAATAATATAAGCGAGTGTCCTCTCGATACGAGGAATAATAACATGCTCTATTGCGTTGACTCGCCGATTAGTGATCTTAATTACTTCGTCAAGAGTTACGAAGCTAGTTTGCAGCGAGGCCAAGACCACAAGAAGCTTGACTCCTTTCTGGTAGTTCTTCTTGAGTTTTGCGAGCTGCTGACCACCACGAGCCAACCCAGCGAGTTCGTAGGTATCCGTACCGTCTTGGTAGGACTCGAACACTGGCAAGTTTACACCAGCTACGTTGTCTTTCTTAGACCGGATTTTAATCTGGGCTTTTGTTACGTTCTGCAAGACTACTTGGTTAAAATCACCAGTCGCGAATTTTGCTTCTGCTAGTGAAAATGCAGCTTCTTTCATTACTTCTCCCATTAATGTTTTTGTCTAAAAATAAATTATAAATTTTTCTTTTAAATATCTAGAATTTGTAATTACAATTACCAAGTTAAATAATTTTTTTTATTCACTAAACCTTTACTAATTTTATTATAAACAAAAAATTTTCATCAAATAAAAATTATAAATTTTTAATGATATTGAATTTTAACAGACAGTTTTTTTAAATTTTTCTAACAATTAAGAAATTAAGAAAATAAATTAATTAATTAAATTATAATGAAAAAAAATTCCACACGTGGAAATTTAAATTAAAAATTAAAAATAGGTAAGAATTATTTTTCAATAATTTTTTTTATAATAAAAAATTGATTTATTAAAAAAATTCCTAAAATTGTCTGATATTTATTTATTTCAGTATCATAATTTTTGTAATAATTACCATAAAAATTAATTTACCAGAAACTTAATAAATTTTTACAAAAAATAAATAATGGCAAAAAAAAAATGACATCAAAGTTAGAAGTCACTTGATAATTTTTAATTTTATTTAACAAAAAAATTTATTTTGAAAATTGTTATTAAAAAATTGCATTTTTAATTTTTTAAAATTTCTACAAGTCAATTTTTCTTTCTAATTTTTTTTTTTTACAGTAATTTGCTTGTTAAAAAAATTATCAAATATCTGCTACTTTATTTTTTTAAATAATTTTTTCGGAAAAAAATTTGTTTATTAAAAAAAAAAATTAAAGAATTGTCACATGACTGCTAACTTTAATTTAATATAATATATTTACCTCGATAATTTTACCAAGAATCATACGGAATCTCATCTGCAATGCATCAGCTTTCTTTTTTAATAATCCATGGCCTTTTGTTGCGCCAGCAAGACGGGATTTCATCAACATTTGTGCTCTAAAATTAATTATTTTTATTATGATAAATTATTTCATCAATCCAATTATTTTACATAATTATCGTATTCAAAAATCACTTATTTTAAAATGAAAAAAAAAAAAAAAAATAAATAAATAAATAGAACGAATAAAAAATAAAAAATAATTAATGATTTTTTAAAATAAATGTCAGATGATTTTGAACACAAGGGTTACACCCAGTTTTGGAGCCAACGTGATTAAGACAGTGCACGCATTAATTAAAATTAAATAATTAGTGATAATGATTGATTGAGTGGTTTGTGAATAAATAAAGAGTTATTAATTATAAAATATTATTTTACTTACCCCCGAGAGGGAAAAATAGGTAGTCTGTCTTTACCCGACATTTTCAATAAAAAATTAAGCAGACAGCAATGAAGGAGATCAGCTGACTTGAGACTCTCGGAAGTTATTTGTTTTGATGTATGTGTGTGTCGCATGTGACGTCACTAGTGAACTCGCGGGAGTTTTTTGAACTTTTATATTTATAATTAATTCAATTATTTTTTTTATGTTATTAATTTATAGAACTTCTTTTATTTTTTACTAATCACTCTTTTTTATTTTTATTTTTTAGAATAAACAAGTTTTAATGCTCTAAATATTATAGAAAATTATTTAAAATGTCATTGATGAAAAATATTCTTTTATGTATGAATAATAATAATAATAATAATAGTAAAAATAATAAAAATTATATTGAATATCCAACATTGATGACAATGGAGAATCGTAAATATTTTTATAGTAAAAGACTAGAGCGAATTAAAGAAGAAAAAGAAGAAAAAATTGGTAATGTTATTACAGAAAAAGTTAATAAATTTAATTGGAGTTCAGGAATAATTAGAAGCGCTTATGAAGATATTCTTGTAAGAGTTAAAATCGCTGATTTTCAAAAAATTAAATTCAATCAAAGGTAGCAATAATTTTTTATTAAAAAATCATGATACTGAATTCATCAGACATTTAGCAATTTTTAATATTTTTATAACAATTAAATAATAATGAAATAAATTTAACAAAAAATTCTACATGTAGAAATTAAAAAAAATTATAAGTGCGAATTTTTAAAAATATTTTTTTCATAATCTATACTAATTATATATGAAGAGGAAAGATTTGATTATTTGTTTATGAAAATTAATTTAGCAGATATTTAATAATTTTTCTAATAAATAAATTACTGCATAAAAAAAAAATAAAAAAAAATTGACATTTAGAAAATTTAATAAATTAAAAATACAATTTTTTTAAAATAATTTTTCGGAACTTTAATATCATTGTTTGTTTGCATTGAACAGGCTCCGAAATTACTGAATCGATTTAAAAAATTCTTTCACTGTTGAGAAGCTATACTATCCTCGGGTGACATTACATAGAATATATTATATTATAATTTATTTTGAAATTTTTGTTAAATACGCGTTTGAAGTCGGAGCGGACTGCTAGTAATTAATAAGATTAAAGTTAGCAGTCACTTAATAATTTTTTTTAACAAATAAATTTGTTCCGGAAAATAATTTAAAAAAAATTGCATTTTTAACTTTTTTAAATTAAAATTTTTTTTTATAATTTATTTGTTAAAAAATTATTAAAATTTAATAAATATCTGCTAAATTAATTTTCATTAATTTGTTATAAAAATTTCAAGAATTGTTTCAGTATTATAGAAAATAATCAAATAATATTTTTTATTCTAGTGATCTAAAATCAATCTGAAGTTATCCTGAAAACCATCCACAAAAAATTCTCCAGACCTTTAAAATAAATTTTCACTTTAATAAATAATTAAATATAAAATTTATTAAATTTTATAAAACATAATTTATACTTATAAATAAATTAACTCTGGTATAAATTACTCTGTCCAGGTTTTAAAACTTGTCTGACATTAATATTAATTCTCTTTTGATTGATAAAACTCCTCGCCTTACTCCAATCATCGTCAAAAAAATTACTGTCCAAATCCAAGTCCCAGGTCGAAGAATCAGCAGGTAAAATTTTAGGAACTCCGTGATAATTTAACCTGGACTGTCCGGTCATGACAACGACATCACCGCTTCGGAGAAAAACCGCGTGAGCTGGGTCCTCGGGTCTCGGACCACCGATCAGAAACACAGCGGTCTGTCCGAAGCTTATTGAAATCAACGGCGCTTGAATATCAACTTCAGAATGATCTACGTGGCCAGCCAAGGTAGAATTCATGCAGTAGTAATTAATAATAGCAGCTTCAGCATTGAAATTTCTGAACCCAAGAACTTGGGCAAAGATCTTCGACATCCCAGCTAGATCTTCAGGAATTTCTCCTCGAAGATCTTCGGAATAATTTTTAGTGTCCCAATTATGATGATAGCCCATCGTTGCCCAGCGTAATTTGGGAATTAAACCACTTGCACGTTCGTTATTTTTTGTACAAATGTCCCACCAGGTTTCATTGTCTTCAAGAAGACTATGAGCATCTATATTTAATTTATTTGGCTTTCGAGGATAATCTTTTAGGCACTTGGTGATCCAGTGACGTTGACCAGCACACGTGAATGGATTCTTGATAAAAATTAATCCTGTTTACAATTTATAATAATAATAATTATTATTATTATTATAGATTATAATATTTATAATAATTAATAATAATAATAAAAAAAAATTTTTTTTAATTTTAATTTTGTACCTGGTATTTCATTAAATTCATATATTCTCCAAGAATTTATTTCTATAAGTCCTAGATGAGACAATTTGGAGTTTGTAAGCGCACATTTAGCAAATACTTGTTTAACCTAAAAAGAGTAATTATTAAAAATTGTAATTAATAAAGTGTAAGCAGTTAATTATTACCTTTATAGATTTATTGACATCAATAACATTTTCTAAATTAGGAGGCGGGTTGCGGCTTTTATAATATTTAAAATAATCCTTAAACATTATTTTTATTTACATTTGAATCTTGTACGCTGCCATGCTGTTTGACCGATAACGTAGAACTGCGGTTTAATTTTTTTGTTATTAGGAGTTATTAGGGGGTAAAATGGGACATTTATAAAAGTTCAATTTTCATATGATGCATGAATGAAAATTAATTTAGCAGATATTTAATAATTTTAAAAATTTTTTTAATAAAGAAATTACTTCGGAACAAATTTTCTTGTTGAATAAAATTATGAAGTTAGATAAAAGACCCAGTTATTGACACTGGCCCAGTTGATTGACGATTGCAATTTTATTCTAATTAAAAAAATAAAATGTTATCAAAAAACCAATTAACTTAAAATTTATAATTTAAAAATTATACTTATTTATTTATTCAAGTCGGTTTGTTTTAATTAATTAAAATAAAATTGCAATTGTCAATAACTGGGTTTTTACCTTAGCTGACAACTGTTCATTTTTTTAATTTTTATAACAAATCAATTACAATAAAAAAACAATGCTTCTAAAATTTTCTTTTAATTTTCACATTTAGAATTTTCTTATTAAATTATTTTTTTATAACAAATAAATTGTTATAAAATTCTAAAATAATTTCTTATTAAAGAAATAAAATTTTTTTAAGTATTAAAAATAAAAATAATAAAAAATTAAAGAAAAAACATGTGACAGTAATTAAGTTTATTTCTTAAAAAATATTATACTCAACTCTTATTACTATATATTAATTATGCATTAATGCTCTGTTTAAAATAAAAATGAGGCTGATTTTGATGAAGTTGCGTCGTAAATAAACGTATTATGAATCGGCTTGTACTGGCAAGTAATAAATTTAATAGTTTCTTGAGCAACCAGCCCACCAAGGAACGCAGATACTGAATGCAACTCGGCACCGCCGAATCTGCAAAACTCATGGATGTAGTCATCAGTAGGCAAGGGTCCACATCCCCACTCTCCAAGCAATTTCGTGATATAACCCTTGAGTGTCACGATATCCGGTTCTACTTGATCGTCAAATTCTCCTGGATAGACGTTGTAATAACTCTGAAACTTTTGCATCCCTCTGAGAACCACATAGTAGACCATCAGACTCTCGGGATTCTCCAAATTTTCGGAAATGTAGTTGCTATTTATCGTTTTCGGGTCGTACTCATCAGCAATAGATGTTCCTCGTTGAACATGTAAGTCTGTTGCGTGACGGCAGAATAATTTGACGTGTTTTTCGGAAATCGAGTCCATTGCAAGACCTAGTTGCTTCTGTAAGCTGAGAGTATGGCGCCATACTGCTTCTGCGTCTGCGACAGCTTGTTTGTGATATCTAAAATTTATAAATAAAATAAATTTAATATTGTTAACTAGCAACCTTGCAGTCACTATGTGACTGCCGTGACTTGTGAACTATAAATAAATAAAATTTTGCTTTATTAAATAATTACTATTGTTAAATTGCACTGTACTTTTTTAATTATTGACATTTTTAAAGATATAAGCTCATCGCGATGTTACACTCATCAAGAGCTTTCATTTAAGTACCCACATGGAATTTTTTATATATTTTATATATATATGGTATTTGTAAAATATATAAATATATCAAATATATGAAAAAATTATGTGGGTACTCAAATGAAAGCTCTTAATGAGTGTA